TTAATATCATTCATTACACAACTAAAGGTAGCCATTGACCATGAAAAGAGCATGTCTCATTTTCAAAGTGACTTAATGACATGCTCAAAATTTTAAAAATGCATCAGTCAGTTAAAACATATTTTTCCCAAGGAATAAGGTCTACTGTGATAGAAACTAATTCGCCCACCACTTGTAATACTTTAATAAACAAAGCCTTGGCAGATAAGGATGTAACATTTATTATTAATGGATAGCCGGTAATTATGTATCTGCAATTGGACAAGTACACATAATATAAGCATAACATGTATCTCTTAGGCGATATGACGCATATCTACCATCCCTGTACCAATGCTTTATTCATTCATCGTCCCCAACCACAATAAAAACTATTTTAATCTTTAGGGAAAACATTCTTACTGCCAAATTATAACTTATCTCAGAGCTTATAAATATTTCAGAAATTCTTTAATGTTTCTGTCAAATGCTAAGCAAGCAGAAATGTAAAGAGCGAAAATGATATAATATCCTAGTTGACAAATACTGTGTGTTCTGCTCAATCAAATCTCACATGTATATATTGAAATATTCACTTCATGGAGAAAATGGTCTTTAAAAGATTATCCAAATGAAATACTTTTCATTTCAGAATTTTTTTAAATATATCTAAAAACAAATGAATGTTTGATCTATGAAATCTTTCAAGAAGATAAACCTCAAAACATCCATCAAAACCAATACCATTTTCGTCTGGTGTACATTTTTCAGTTGGAAATTCCAGAAGCAGCTACCCCACAATATATGTGTCTTGAAGTATATGAGCTAACGTAATTTGTGAGTCTGTAAATCCTCCACAGGTGTACTGTGTTCTTCACGGCTAAGGAAGGTTACCACCATTGCCTTTGTGTCAGTGTGATACTGAAAGTCAAGGTGACCAGACTGGTGCATTACATCATTGATTTCCGTGCATTCATTTTATTACATCATCATTTTCCATCATTAACCAACAATGTAAGTCTCGTATTCAATAATTCCTTATGGACTTGTTCAATCAGGCAAGTAAAAGCTACACTGTGTGATAGACTTCCCGTATTACACGTCTACAGAGTGTATACTGACAAGTAATTACCTTATTTCCCTCATAACTCTGTCTGCTTTGAATTCTTCAATAAACCTGTCTCAACATATGATTAAATAATGTTCGAAATTTTCCCAAAGATTTATCATCTTAAAACTGTAAAAGAATAGTATTTCTCTCTGGTTAATTTTGCCTCTATGAAGAAACCACACACCATACTACATTGTATGTCTGTATGTTTCTTGTTTAACATCTCATGAATATTCAACCTATATAAACAATACTATATACCCTGGTGTATCACATAACTATTACACATAAAATGCACATAAAAGTTCTAAACAAAAACTTTTCTGAATTTTGTTTCAAATTACAAATATTTAAAAGAATATGAGCAATACCATATACGCTGATGTATGCTCGTAACAGCCTGTTAATGTTTTAGTCTTCAAGATCATGAGAACACACCTACTTAGAATGTCGCGTTTTCTAGTCGCCGACATCTGATCATGTAACTTGTAATGTAACATTCATAAGTTGTCATGGAAATAGCCCAACAGCAACAATTACAGTTTATTACAGATTGGTTATTTCAAATCAAGATAGAAATGATGGTTCGACAGTGTGTTAAACTATAATTTCAAATGCATTTATTGAAAATCTTTGTCCTGAGGGAACCTTCCATGGCAAGATTGTAATGCCAATTTTCGCTTCTGGTTCATAAAAAAACTACTTATCACATATACACGACACCTAATCAACAACACTTTTGGTAAATATAGCGTTCATCAGCTTCTTTATGACCTAATGTCTACAGACACGCATTGATCTCTACATTATTGTGTGGTTTTTGTAACTGAGCTGACGATAAACCCACAAGTTTTCTGAAGATATAAGAAATGTGAATCTAAATACAAAAAAGTTTCAAATTAAAATTTATAATTCTGCAGAAAATAATTTGAGAACTTCATAGAAACTGTTATGTCTGTTCATTTTCACTCTTCCTTGAAGAGACTGACTGACCCATCAAGCCATAATTACAATATCATAAATATTTTAATTTTGATATCATAACATTAATTTGAAAACAGCTGGTATCATTGTTTAGAATTCTTTTAAATAGAAATGACAAAAAGAAACAAAACCAGTACACTGATGAACCTATCGCGCATAACAGCAAACATGCATGTACATTTAGAAACAGGATAGAGAATAGTCAGCTTCCTTTTCAGAACCAACCAATAAAATAATTTACTATGTTCATGTTTGGGACAAAAATGTCAAATACAAAATATTGAATGATTTTGAAATTTGTCATTTTAATGAAATAATTACAGGGCTAATCAAACCCTACGAACAACAAACACAATTTGACGAACCTCAATGGAAAGAGGCCAAATGTTTGAGGTACTGTGGAGAGAGAGAGTCCAGGGTCTCCTTTCACAAAGCACTAAGGCGATCGTAAGTCACTAAGGTAACCTTAGTGCAATGTTAAAGAATGGGAGTTAAGGTTAACCTTAGCAAAGGTTGCTTCATGAAAGGAGCCCCAGGTTGGTCAATAGTTACTAACATTTTAATGGAGAACCAAACACGTGTACGAGGACTATAGCAAATGTTCCAGTCACCATTTTGCCTCCAAATCTACCATTCACGTTCAGTGATGTATCTTGGTGATGATGAACAGGTGTTTCTAACCCAAGTATCTACTCTTAGACCGATTAAAAACGTACATTAAAAATGGGAATTAGCTTTGACTTATACCTCAAAACCCAGAAATAGTGATGGAAACTGTAAACTTTGTTCTCGTCATGAACAGTGAGGGCCACTGAATTAATGTTAGGGGAAGCGCTATAAATCAGGGACGACTGGATACTGGGAACCATTGTGTATTTTGTGCCTTGTATCAAAATGGTACACAACCACAATTAACATGATGAATGACAAACAGGGATTTACAGGACGCGAATTCCTGCATCCTATGCGCATAAATATTGACAATGGACACAACAAAATTTATAAGCACATCCACAGGGACGCAGAAAAAGTCGAAATACTTTTTTGTAAAAATTCCAATCAAGTAACAATAAGTTATCAAAGAGTTTGCTACTAGATGGATTATGGTATCATTTGCAATTCAATTACTGTGTAATTCAACAACTAATGTGATGATCATGATACACAATACAATAACAGTAATAATAATAATAATATTTAAGTGTCTGGGACCCCCATTTTGTTGTCCGGGACCCATGAAATTTAAGAGTATGAGTCCCAGGGACCCTCAAAAACAGGACTGAAGGTAAATCCCTGATGACAAAGCAGCTAAGACAAAGTGAGGGAGATTTTACACTGCTTCAATCACTAAAGTAGCAGACGTGACACTTCCTCACTGGCAGATCGAAGACGGGCTGTACATTTAACATGCCACCCCTTATTTTCACACCATACATGTTAATGTATCATGTAATGCTTTTACATTGTGACTTGGGAGTACCGTGCCCTATTTACTGCTTTTTCAAAATCCAGATCTGCCTCACTTTCTACTGTTTTTGAAGAATGCATCAGATTACCAATGCCCAACAGGCATTTTAGAACAGGGTGGGCAGGTAGGACATGTTTTAATTATATGACAAACATTTGATACCAACAAACTCATCAGGATCCCTTACCCAGTCAAACTAATCATGCTCGAGTCCTGCTAACTCAAATACTATGTAACTCAGTTCTCATGAAGACCGTTGTACATCACGTTGGTTGTTTTCCTTTTCAGAATGTGTAAATCGCATGTTTCCTACATCTTAACGTCAGAAAGTGGTCATCAGAAAATTTACGTTAGTTTATTCCAGCAAACAGACTCTATTATCATGGAACTCCAACCACTTTGAACAATATCAAAATTCATACAACAGCATGTCAGCTAAAGTTTGGAGATAAATTCAAGTGATGCAGTTTGATGATGTCTGACATCTTAGAGCTTAGTGATCATACATCAAGTATAAGTTGGATACAAACATGTGGCCAGATGCATGCTGGGAGTGTATATCCAACAGCAAACTGTGTGATAACTCTCATAACGACCGCAACTGCTATGATGAAACACGCCCCTAATACTGTCATGGTTCCCTGATCTTTCATTAGAGATCTCTACGCATGGGGAAGTCATCAAGGCAAGCTCTGGGATGGCTGATTGTGGAACAGATAGAGTGTCATGGCTCGGTGTATGTACTTACTATAAACACTGCAGAAATTCATCACAGGACTTTTCATAGATTCAAAGCATGTGATAAAAATTTGGAAAAATATAATTTACTCATACTGTCTACTGATCATCAATAATAAATAGTTATTAACCTGTAATTCTTAAATGTAAGGACAGAATCAACTAGTTTGTATTAGCTCTAAAGTTTCATAAGCTTAAATTTGAGTTAGACATTAATGTTTATATTTGAAGCTCATTAACAATCTGTTAGAATTTATATATGCATCAAATAGTAGCCATATGCATTAAACATATTCATGAATATGCATGACTGACTGACTGACTGACTGAGTTTGGTTTTACGCCGCTTTTAGCAATATTCCAGCAACATCACGGCGGGGGAATATGCATGAAACATATTCATGAATATATACTATTTGAGTTTAAAACTAACCTCCTTTAGCTTTTGTGCATGGTTCTGTTTTATGATAGCAAGTATAAGATGTCTATAATCAGGGGAGAGACCTAAAACTATGGCAATACGAGATGGTTTAGAAACCACATGAAAAACCAACTCAACACACTGCATGAAGAACAATGTACTACTTGCCGACAACTATCACTGTCTGGCAAACAAGTCTGGCAATAGTGCCAGTGGTAATATTTTCTGAACATTGTCCTTGCTTATAGTCAATATGTTTAGGTCGCAACTGAACAGCAAATGAAGAAATTGTAACTTACCTTTCTTAGTTTTAGCAGCTTCAAAAGGAACTATCCAGAGAACTGATGCACAATAAACCAGGCATAGATACATGGACAAACTCATTCCGTCCGAACGCACATCAACCCATCCCGTAGAAAACTACTGTTGCCCTGGCTAGTTTCTGCACTCACAGACATGAAGATCCACGGACCTGGGCATAGCTTCTTTCACAAACAGTTGCTACAAAGTTTCATAAAAATCCTTGACCACGTTGAAGTTAGAACTTTCCCGTCGCGCTTAAATCCTTGCCACAGTTGTCTCTGGAATTCTGACCTGTCAGATCAGGTGACAATTTCTGCAGTGATCTACCTGTTTGGCTGCAGTTACCAATCCTAATCCCAAATCGGTTTCTGTCTGATGTGAGTCGAATCATGACATTCCAAACCATCTATTACAGATGTAACAGAAACTGGACACAAAGTTCAAAGTTTGTTGTGAGTCTCCTCAGTTTACAACTGATAATAGTCTCTCATAATTCGGTGACAATTTTCCTTCATTCGATAGCCAGACTTTTTTGCTCCCAGACGACTAACTTCATAAGCACACGGGTAAACCAATATTTTGGCAAGCAGACGCATATTTTTTTTCTTTTTCTGGTGACTGTCTTTTGATAATTTACTGTGAACTAGTCTGTGAAACAGCTTGAGCTCTCACATTGTGGAGGAACAATTCTTTTCGAGCAGACGACACAGTGCAGGAAAGTGTGTCAGTGTAGTGTGACTCCTTACAACCAGCATATCTCTGAGCGTGTACACTTTGAGAGGATGTCAGAGCCGTGTCGTCTGCTGCCACTGGGGGGAGTGGGGGGGTCGTCAACAGGAGTACCCACTTCCTTGCCGTCTACCTCACTGGGCAAAGGTGGACCATGCACATCCACCACCTGACTGATCCTGTGACATAATAATAACTCTTCTCTCACTAGGCCCTCGTTGTCACTCGCTTCGAGACACCCCGATCATGTCACAGGGACCTGTTCCCATATATTAGCACAACTTATCTTTCTTGCTTCACACACACTAACTTTGAGGTCAACTACTGCGCATTTTGCACGAGTGCATCAAATTCCTTCGGTAATTTCTGTCTGCAGGTCTTTCGTCGCTGGTATACTTCACATGCGCACTTGTATGCGTGACGTCATTCACAGACACCGAGAGTACTGCAGGACCTAGTGCCCGCCTGACTGCACGCCCGCCTGATGGCCCAACCAACTCAGTACAGTATGGTGTAACTGCACAGGCTGATGCTTCTTCAGCCTTCTTCTCAAGGCCTGCAACTCGTCCTGCCTTGTCGTGTCAGCTCCCTCCTCCTCACCTGTAATATAGAAAGGCCTTGTTAGGGTACAGCGATCTCGCTTGAGCCAAATACACATGCTTATAGACTCTGCATTTTTGTATACTTATGTTACATAATGTTATGGACATTTTAGGCATTTCTTCAAATGAGTTTTCTCTGAATAAAAATAGCAGGACAAATTGTGGGTAATGTGAAAATACGGTCTTGACTACATTAAACTAGAAATCGCAAAATACTAAACTTCCAACTTCCAGCTGGTGCTGCATACGTCAAACATTTCGTTAAGTGAAACTCTAAATTATCATATCCTTGTGTAGATAGACATAACAGAACTAGTCAGCCCATTGCCATATCCTTGTGTAGATAGACATAACAAAACTAGTCAGCCCATTGCCATATCCTTGTGTAGATAGACATAACAAAACTAGTCAGCCCATTGCCATATCCTTGTGCAGATGGTAGAGGCTAGTTCTGTTATGTCTAACTGTGACATATTCTTGCGTAGACAGACATGACAGAACTGCAATCAACCCGTTGTCATATCCTTGTGTAGTGATACATGACAGAACTACAATCAACCCATTGTCATATCCTTGTGTAGATAGACTTGACAGAACTACAATCAACCCATTGTCATATCCTTGTGTAGACAGACATGACAGAACTACAATCAACCCATTGTCATATCCTTGTGTAGACAGACATGACAGAACTACACTCAACCCATTGTCATATAATTGTGTAGACAGACATGACAGAACTACAATCAACCCATTGTCATATAATTGAGTAGACAGACATGACAGAACTACAATCAACCCATTGTCATATCCTTGTGTAGACAGACATGACAGAACTACAATCAACCCATTGTCATATAATTGAGTAGACAGACATGACAGAACTACACTCAACCCATTGTCATATCCTTGTGTAGACAGACATGACAGAACTACACTCAACCCATTGTCATATAATTGAGTATACAGACATGACAGAACTACACTCAACCCATTGTCATATCCTTGAGTAGACAGACATGACAGAACTACACTCAACCCATTGTCATATAATTGAGTAGACAGACATGACAGAACTACACTCAACCCATTGTCATATAATTGAGTATACAGACATGACAGAACTACACTCAACCCATTGTCATATCCTTGTGTAGACAGACATGACAGAACTACATCAACCCATTGTCATCCACACTCAACCCATATCCATTGTGTAGACAGACATGACAGAACTACACTCAACCCATTGTCATATCGTGTAGTGTATGACAGAACTACACTCAACCCATTGTCATATAATTGAGTAGACAGACATGACAGAACTACTCAACCCATTGTCATATCCTTGAGTAGACAGACAGACATGACAGAACTACAATCAACCCATTGTCATATAATTGAGTAGACAGACATGACAGAACTACAATCAACCCATTGTCATATCCTTGTGTACAGACATGACAGAACTACAATCAACCCATTGTCATATCCTTGTGTAGACAGACATGACAGAACTCAACCCATTGTCATATAATTGAGTAGACAGACATGACAGAACTACACTCAACCCATTGTCATATCCTTGTGTAGACAGACATGACAGAACTACACTCAACCCATTGTCATATCCTTGTGTAGACAGACATGACAGAACTACAATCAACCCATTGTCATACAGACATGACAGAACTAGTCAACCCAGACTTGTGTACAGACTTGACAGAACTACACTCAACCCATTGTCATACTTGAGTAGATCACTACACCTCATTGTCATATAATTGAGTAGACAGACATGACAGAACTACAATCAACCCATTGTCATATAATTGAGTAGACAGACATGACAGAACTACACTCAACCCATTGTCATATAATTGAGTAGACAGACATGACAGAACTACACTCAACCCATTGTCATATAATTGTAGTAGACAGACATGACAGAACTACAATCAACCCATTGTCATATCCTTGAACTACACTCAACCCATTGTAGACAGACATGACAGAACTACAATCAACCCATTGTCATATCCTTGTGTAGACAGACATGACAGAACTACAATCAACCCATTGTCATATAATTGAGTATACAGACATGACAGAACTACACTCAACCCATTGTCATATCCTTGTGTAGACAGACATGACAGAACTACAATCAACCCATTGTCATATCCTCATGACAAAACTACTCTTCACACTGTAATATCCTTATGTTGATGGCATGACAGAACTACATTCACTGGGATTATTTCACACAGACCTACACATCATTAACTAGATGCTGTGTTGACTGCTTGCATTTATCAGGCAGAATCAACCGTGTAAATCAGTACATTAAAATTAAACAGTTAAACGTCAAGATTTCAAAAGCATAAACTAAAATGAAAACCCCTTGAACCCTTTCCATGCTTTCTTGCTTAACTATGACATTCAGAAACCCTCTATATTTGGATTACAACTGCCGATATATCCACATGCAGTTCACATAACAGGTCCCTTTGACATTTGCATTTCCATGTTATTTTGTCAAAAAACGCTGTCTGCTAGGAGCAAGTTAACTTAACTTTCCACATGCGGCATAAATACATAATTCAGAAACAATGACAGGCAGCAACTATTTTCATTATCATTTAACAGCTTTTGAATAATAACTGAAAATGTGTCTACAGTTTGCGTCTGAGCTCGCATTTCTTTCAAACATGTGCAATGACTCTTGGTTGATATCACTGAAGTGGTGACACGACATCTAGTATTTCATCAAGTGTAGACCCATCCATAACATCAGTATATAAATATGCTATTAGCTGGAGTTCAGAATGTGAGCGGCAGAGGTAAAAATTGTGCTGAAGAAAATGATAGCATCTGCAACCCAGTATGAACCATTCAAACCAGAGGTGGATAGCATGAACATAAAAACAGTGATGGGGAAAGGCAGAGCCATTTGCGCTTTTTTAAAATTCTGGGCACATTTTTCTTCCCATATATGTGCCCTAATGGTGCAAAGGTGATTTCTTTTGAAAATTACAAGTGTTACTATCCTATTCAATTATTTCATTATCCCCGAAAAATACTTGGTAGAAGTTGCCAACAAGATGTCACGAGTCCCCAAACACTGGAGGTCGGTTTACCGGCCAGGTATTTGTTGTCGCGTCAAAATTATAGGAACCTATAGTTGTGGTTGATTGAAATAAAAAATAAACACCCAAGATCTGGATGAATTGTTTCTCTTTAAATAAACTTTAGTGGTATTTCATTACCTTGGGAAGTTTGCCTGTCATATTTTCAGATGGCCCATTTAGTTTCTAATGGAGGGGGCCATTGGCACATTGATCGAACTGTCTTTCCCAATCGCAGAGAACATGCACTAGATGTACAACATTCTGATCACACATTGTCAGACACTGTCACACGTAATTTAAACCAAAACATTTACACAGGTGGTGCTTTGGAATATTAATGACACATTGTCACACACTATTGTCACACCCATACTTTTATAAAGTGGGTGAATTTAGTTTTACGCCGCTTTTAGCAATAATGCAGCAATATCATTGGGGTGGGGTGTGTGTGTGTGTGTGTGTGTGTGTGTCAGGAAGAAGAAAGATCGTAGCGCTACGACAGTCGTACCTAAGTCTATGTTAAAGTATGGGAGTTACGACTGTTGTAGCGCTTACGATCACTTTGAGGAACAGGGCAAATCCTGGTCTTCGGCGTGATGGGTGAACGCTTTAACCATTAGGCTACCTCGCCACCCCTACTTGTACAGGGATTTACAACAAACAGTCCTACATATTGCATAAACATTTCTTTATGGAAATAGACACACACAGCCAGATCGTGAATATCATCGGCTTACACAACCAGCAGTTGTTACTTGTGACCTAAAATGACAGAAGTCTAGATTGATGTGTAGATGCACTTTCTGATGCATGACAATGATAAATTGATTGTGATAGTCTAAACCCTATCTGGCCCACTACCCTACTTACATCTTTACTTGCATCATGTGTAGTTTCTCATTGCAGTAAACTAGGCTTACGAGTGAGTGAGTGAGTGAGTGAGTGAGTGAGTGAGTGAGTGAGTGAGTGAGTGAGTGAGTGAGTGAGTGAGTGAGTGAGTGAGTGAGTGAGTGAGTGAGTGAGTGAGTGAGTGAGTGAGTGAGTATGCAACATCTTATAGCAATATCACTCCTGGAGACACCAGAAATAGGCTTCACATACTGTATCCCATGTGGGGAATTGAACCATGGTATTCAGCCTAACCATCAAACACTTTAACCACTAGACTACCCCACCACCCCTATATCAAACTCAAAAGGAACATATATTTTGTCTCAGAATTACAAGTAACCATGACAGTGAGTGAGTGAGTGAGTGAGTGAGTGAGTGAGTGAGAGAGTTACATTTCATGCCGCTTTTAGCGATATTCCAGCAATATCACGACAGGGGACACCAGAAATGGGCTTCACACATTGTACCCATATGGGGAATCGAACCCAGGTCTTCAATGTGTCAAGCAGACGCTTTAACCACTTGGCCACCCCACCGCCCCTCTAGCCATGACAAGAACAGTTTGTTGTGTTTGTCAGTTCATGTAAGTATGTTTGTCATAAACATAGTTGACTGTACATACAAAGGCATCAGTTAACCTGAAACTATATATGTATGTATTACACTTATGCCTAGACTGTGAAATGACAAACAACAGTTGTTTATGTTAAGAACATAAGTAGTTAATGCCTTAATTTTACTGACTGACTGACTATATATGTATGTATTACACTTATGCCTAGACTGTGAAATGACAAACAACAGTTGTTTATGTTAAGAACATAAGTAGTTAATGCCTTAATTTTACTGACTGACTGACTGACTGACTGACTGACTGACTGAATTTGGTTTTACGCCGCTTTTTAGCAATATTCCAGCAACATCACCGGAGGACACGAGAAATGGGCTTCACACAATGTATCCATGTGGGGATTCG